TTTTCAAAAAACCCTTTTTTAGATTTTTTTTTTTTTTTTTTTTTTTTTATCCCATTGTCTTTCTCCCCAGCGTACAAAAGTTCTAATTGCTGTTTGCAGTTAGAGGACCAAATTCACCACTTCCAGTTGAAGTCAATAGAGTTTTTGGTTTTGGCATTTCAGTTTGTACTTCATAAGCTCTAAAACGGCATCTGAAAAGAACTGCTTTTGCTTATTATAGCCATAGACTTTGGAGTTGGGAAGGATTTGATCCATCACCCTGACCACCCTTCTGCGAGGGCAGAATTAACCCCTGTAATACACTTTCTCACAAAGCACATCTTCCTTCTGTTTCATTTCTGTAACTGAAGAATGACCATATTGACTAGTTTTCACATTTCGTAAAGCAAAAGCGCATCCTGAATGAATGCTTGTGACTTGTACCAAATTTCAGCCCAGAGCAAATTTTTTCCAGCTGAGTTTATAAACTGCTGAAAAATAGCTCCTTTTAAAAGACAGTGCTGAAAGGATTTTAAGCTGAGTCACATTTATTGGCTGTAACATAGTCATACAATGAGTTTTATACAGAATAAAGCAACAATTCTTAAAAATTAAATTAGGTCCCTTTTGAATGTTGTTGGAACAGGATCTACACAGCAGGTCTGGCAGTGACAGTGAAGGCTTTTAAGTGCCCTGGGGTTCCATTCGGAGCCAAAGAAGCCATTTCTAAGTATTTTCTGTGTCCATCTAGTAACTCTGCTGACACTGCTAGGAAGTAAAATGTGTGGTGGTAAATTTGCGATGTAGACTCCCTCTAAGTGCAGCGAGATTGCTTATAGACTTCATATGGGCTTGATCCAATGATCTGTGTGAAGATGCACTCCATTGAAAGACTTGCTGAATTCATTGGGCTTTGACTTGGGCAGCTACAATTCTGATCAGTCATAGCCTAACTGCAAAGAAGATTTAAGTATAAATCTGTGGAAGCAACTATGTTCTTGGATCTTGAAATTCCACCTTTTCAGCAGGGAATTTTCTGTCCTGTAACTTGAAATTCTTACTCAAATGCTGTTGCTGTTGTTGGTTAAGTTCCAGTTCAGCAAAATGAATAGCACCAGGATTGTAGGGCAATGTAAATGTCACTTGAATTGATATCCACCTTCCCATTAAAGATCTGATCCCAACACCCAAAGCATCTTTCCACTCAAGGTGCTTTAGGTGAGTGATTTTGAACCAGGGTGCTTTGAGATCCCTTTAAGGGTGTTGTGGGGTACGATACAATGTTAGCACTGTTAGAAGTGCAAACACGATTCACAAGATTAAATCCAGAGATTTCAAATAGGAATCAACAGTGTCAAAAATATTCTGACCTGTTGTCATCTTTCTGAGTTCTTTTCAACAGAAGAATTTCTCTGCTATTTTTCTGCAATCAAAAAATGAGTGAAAACTAAGGGCTGGCATTTTTTGTAGTGTGTCTTGAGTCCAAAAAGGTAAGCTTTTTATCTATAAAGGTTGAGAGCAATTGCCAGCTAATTGTTTTCCTATTACAGTGACCTTTGTTTATGGAAATTTAGTTTAATATCTAAAGCAATAATAAAGTTACACAAATACATTTTTATACGGGACTAAAATGATAACGGGGAGTATCTGCTCTCCTTGTCATTGTTTATTAGATCTTGTGCTAACAGTGTCAGAAGTGAGCAGTGCTTTGTTTTTTGGGTTGGTGGGGTTTTTTTGGGGGGGGGGGTGCCTCTATTGTGTATTGATGCATTCCTGGGTTTGAGACCTCGTTTAAAAGGACCTGACCTGCAGCATATGCTGAACATTTGCTTTCTGAAAATCATGCTTCTTCAAACTGCCTAAAGTTTAGGCTTTCTGAATTATTTGTCATTTCTGAAAATCTTATTCTCCAGTGTTTTGATACTGGGGAAACAAGTCTGAATTTCTGAAGCATTGTTCAGACTACCAACACCAAAGATATTCATACTGGCATTGCCATTGTTCCCAGTCACAGTGTTTCCATTTTAGGATAAGGTTTAAAAATGAATTGAGTTGCAGTGGC